TGGTGATCGCCTCCCCTGTCGGCGACTTGGGCACTGGCGCTGGCCCGGGTTTGGGCACGAAACCTAGGCGGAATAGCGGGCCTGCTTTGGGGGAAGCGCGGGCCTGTTCACATCCTAACGGCGCTGTGGTCCCCCCTCGGACCGTAGCGCCGTGGCTAGAGGTGGCGGCTGGCACTAATTGCCCGGCCTTGATCTGTGAGACTAGGGTTTCTACTGAGTTGCGCATGGCTTGGGCCTGGGAGTCAAAATTTGCCTTGATGGTGGCAACTTCCCTGGCCATGGCCTCGGCGTTGCTTTGCATGGCCGCAGAGAGTGATGTGATGTAAGGCTGTTCCAATCCTTGGATGCCTGGAAGGGGCGCTGGGCAATGGAGGAGTGGGGGAGAGGTCGGCGCTGCCGTGAGGGGCGTGGCCGTTCCCAGGTCATGTGGGTCGGCTTGCTCCTCACCTGTATGCGTTGCAGAGAGTGTCGCAGTGCGCTGTACTGCACCTGGCTCCTCCGCCGCGTCCCCCATCATGAGCGAGTCAGTGATGGCGGCGACTGGCGGTGCTTGCGACTTGAAATAAGCTAGTAACATGGCAGCCTGGCTGAGGTCCGCTTGTGCGGTCTGAAGGGCCAGGGCAATGTTGCGCACGTGCTCCTCTGCCTGCGTTTGTTTGGCTGCCAATTGCTCACAATTGGCCTGCAGGGAGGCCACCACGTGCTCTTGCTCGCTAATCTTGGCCAGCGGATCCCTCGCGTTGGCCAATTGAAAATTAACTAGTGAAATCTCCTTTCGGATCTCGGTGATACGCATATCGGAGTGTCCTAGGAGAGTTGAGGCCCTGAGCTGCAGGATTAGTGCCTCCTTGCTCATTGCAAGGGCCTTGCGGTGCTCCAGCAGGCGGTCGGGCTCAAGCGGGGGGTAAAGCCAGGCTGAGTGAGAGTGCGCCTCGTCTGGGGTAAGAGTAGGGCACTGCGCTGTGAGCTCCGCCTCTGAGAGTTCGGTGGCGGGATCCAGCGCTCCAAGCGAGGCAGAGGCCTGTTCGGCCGCGAGGAAAGGGGACTGCTGTACAGAGGTAGGGCCGAAGAGTGTAGGGGGAGTGGCCACGCCGTCTTGAGGAGGCGCAAAAGGGGAAGGCAGTGACTGGGGAGACTGCCCTATGATGCCTGTGTCCTTGGCCCCGTGTGGGGTGCCAGGAGCCTTCAATGGAGGCTGCTCCCCGTCTCTGCGCTGGTACTCGCGAGCTCTGCGAGCGTCGTCCTTTTCACGCTTCTTGCGCTCCTTGTTGGAGATCCCAGCCTCTTGGACCGCATGATCTCCTGGGGGCGCGGGGAGCAGGCCGTATTCCGCTGCCCATGCAGCCACCTGGTCGTAGGACGGCGCACCTGTCGGTGCGGGGCCCTTGCCCTGGTGCATCCCCCCCGTGCTGCCTGAAAAGGAGCGAGGGCCCTTGTGGCCCGGCCCCGCGCCTCCATCGTGCAGGGGCCTGTGCTGCCCCTGACCTTTGACTGGGCCGACCTTCGCTTGTTGGTGACTTGCGGCCCTGGTCGGAAAACAGTTGGGACATGAGGCATCCAAAGTGGTATTGGCCCGGCCGCATTGCAGGCAATACCAGAACTCGGGCGGGGCGCTGCCTTTCTGGTGCGCTGGCTGCTGGGGTGGAGGAAAAAAGTCTAGGGGCAGGCGCGTGGCATAAAGAGACGGTGAGGGAGGGGCAGCCAAGCGTTGGGTGGGAGAAGTAGCCATGCCATGCTGCTGGAGTCCAGATAGTGGCGCATGCTGAGGGGGTGAGGTAGGAGGAAAAGCGCCTTGCTGGGGGATGCCCTGGAAGGAATGGTGCTGTGAAAGCATCATCGCGGCCTTGTGCGCCCTTAAAAGCGTGCGGGCGTTGGCGCGCTGCTTGCGCGCTCTACGATGAGTAGCGGGCTCGTCACGAGGCCGCTGGGGATAGGAAGGAGGAGAGTAGGCAGGCGTCGCGCCTGTCGGATGGCGGCCCGATAGGGCGTCGCGGCGGGGATCGGCGCGGAACCGGTTATGCAACCGCTCGAGCCAAACCTGGAGGAGGGGGGGAGGAGGGAGGAGGGGAGGAGGAGGAGGAGGAGGAGGAGGAGGAGGAGGAGGAGGAGGAGGAGGAGGAGGAGGAGGAGGAGGAGAGGAGAGAGGAGGAGGAGAGGAGAGGGAGGAGAGGAAGAGGAGGAGGAGGAGGGGGAGTGGGAGGGGTAGAGGGAAGGGAAGGGAAGGGAAGGGAAGGGAAGGGAAGGGAGGAGGAGCAGGTGCTTCACCAGCCGAGGAGTGTGCTGAGGCGCTCGTCGCACCCTGGGATTGACCTTTCTGGATATCCGCCTGCGGCGCGGTGCCTCATTCGTGGAGTCCAGCGCTCCGCGGCCCAGAATGGGGGGACGAGGGGGGAGGAGGAGGAGGAGGAGGAGGAGGAGGAGGAGGAGGAGGAGGAGGAGGAGGAGGAGGAGGAGGAGGAGGAGGAGGAGGAGGAGGAGGAGCAGGAGGAGGAAGAGGAGGAGGAGGAGCAGGAGGAAGAGGAGGAGGAGCAGGAGGCGGGACTGTAGAGGAGAAGCAGGAAGGGGGGGCGTGGGAAGGGCTTCGTATGGCCCCAAGACGGCTCCTAATTTTTCCACGCGGCCACAGGGGGTCCCAACGGGCAGCGAGGAGGCGCTAACAGAGGCCCTTGAGACGGCCAACGACCGCTCCAAGACGGCCCAGGATGCTTTAAAGACGGCCCAGGAGGACCCCCAAGAGGCCTTTTCAGGAGCGGCCGACGAGGCTAACATCATTGATTTCCCATTGGTTTCTCATTGATTGTGGCGTTCTCGCCTTTTCTGGCTCCCGAAGCTCCAAGACGGTCCCTACGATTGCCCCAAGGTGGCCCAAGGAGCCCCCAAAGGGCTCGCAAGATGGCCGCCCAGACGGTCCACGGGCGCACCGTATCGCTACACGATCGGTCCAAGACGCTCGAGCTGGCTCCAAGATGGCCCAAGAAGCTTTCGAGACGCCCCAATAAGAGAGCCCCAATAGCCTTCCCGAGAGGGTCCCGAGAGGCCAAAATTCTTGATTTGCGTTGGGTGTTTGAACCTCTTGTGGGTTCTCCAGTTTCCGAGCTTCCGACGATCCAAGGCGGCCCAAGAGGCCCCAAAAATGGCCCGAGACGGCCCAAGAGGCCTCCAAGAGGTCCCCAAAATTGTACAAGAGGGCCCCACGACGGCCCAAGAGGCCTCCATAATGGCCCAGATCAGTGCTGGTGAGGAGTTGGCGTTCTCCCACTGTTTTTTGCTGGTCGTTGAAAGTTGAACCGAATGGTCATTCACTGTCCCTGGGTGCGTGGCTGAAGTGGAATGCCGCGATGCGGATTCTTGTTGTTGTTCGTTGTTTGTTGTTTGTTGTTTGTTGTTGTCGTCGTCCCACCCGCGACTCGCCCCGCGACCCACCCGCGACCCATGCCGTGACCCACCCGCGACCCACCCGCGACCCACCCCGCAACCCACCCGCGACCCACCCCGCGACCCACCCGCGACCCACCCGCGGCCCACCCGCGACCCACCCCGCGACCCGCCCGCGACCCACCCTGAGACCCTCCCGGCGACCCACCCACGACCCACCGGCGAACCACCCGCGACCCGCCCCGCGACCCACCCCGCGACCCACCCGCGACCCACCCGCGACCCACCCGCGTTTACCCGCGACCCACCGCGACCCACCCGCGACCCACCCCGCGACCCACCCAAAATTTTCGGCGCTTGCGGCGGTTTCTTTTGCATTCGTTCCATGTGGAGAACCTGCGACCCACCCGCGACCCAAACCGCGCCCGCGACCCACCCGCGACCTACTGCGACCCACCGGCGACCCACCCGCGACCCACCCCGCGGCCCACACAAAAAATGTTCGGCGTTTGCGGCGGGCTTCTTTTGCATTCGTTCCAGGTGGAGAACCTGCGACCCACCCGCGACCCAAACCGCGTTCAGTGTACAAGTCAAAATGTTCGGCGCTTGCGGCGGGCTGTTCCTTCCAGGTGGAGGTGGAGAGCCCGCGACCCACCCGCGACCCAAACTACGTTCATTGAACAAACCCGCGACCCACCCCCACGGCGCGCGCGCGCTCCGCGGAGGAGGGGAAGAGGAGCAGGGCGAGGAGCAGGAGGAGGAGGAGGAGGACGACGACGACGACGAGTACGAGGACGAAGAGGAGGCCGACGACGAGGGCGAGGAGGAAAAGGAGAGAGGGACGGAGGGTGACGACGAGAAAGGAGAGAGGAGGAGGGGGAGGAGGAGGAGGAGGAGGAGGAGGAGGAGGAGGAGGAGGAGGAGAAGGAGGAGGAGGAGGAGGACAACGACGACAGAAAGCAGGAGAGGGGAGGATCGGGATGGGTGAGGAAGAGGAGGAGGAGGAGGAAAAGGAGGAAGGGGAGGAGATTGAGGAGGAGGAGGAGGAGGAGGAGGCGGACGACGACGACGACGACGACGACGACGACGACGACGACGACGACGACGACGACGACGACGACGATGAGAACGATGACGCGGACGAGGAAGAGGAGGACGAGGAGGAGGAGGAGGAGCAGGAGGGCGCCATCGACAGGGAAGGTGAGGGCCACGAGGTCCGCCGGCTCGACGCCCGCGTCGCCCGCGCCCGCCCGCTCACTTGTATGCGCAATTGCGGGGTGCTACGTATCTTTGGATGTCCACATCGCATTATTGTTCAAGCGCCTTTCTCCTTCAAGAACCAATATGCGTGTTTCTGTGTTTTGGCATTCGCTGGGCGGGACCGAACCCAATCTGCTCTCCCCACCTTCCTACTTCATGTTTCCACCGACAGTGCTTTTTTCCGACTGGCGGGTAGCCAGTCTGTCAGCAGGCGCCCCTTTTAAATCTCTCTCCCACGAACACGGAGGGGACCCACAGAAGTCCCGAGACGCCTCAGGAAGGCTGAGGGTGGACGACGAACACGCCCAAGGCTTCTCGCACCGAGACGTGTTGTCGCGTGCACCCGCCGTGCCACCGCCCCGCAGGCCTGGTTCCTCTGCGGGGGTATTGCCAACGAGCCCGCGGCGCCAGAGCGCCGGGCGGGCCACGTGGCCGTGGTGGTCGACCGGCGGCTCTTCATCAGCGGCGGCGCCTGCGGCGCGCAGTACTACGGGAAGGGGAAATGGTTCCCGGGCGGCAGGGCCACGGCGCGGGCGAGAACACGCTGGAGCCGGCTGGGGATCTGAGGTGGCCCAGCCTCGGCCAGCATCGGTTCTGAGCTCGCGGAGTGGTCTGTTGCCTTCCTCTTGTCTCCAGGGCCGCTTGCGGGCCCCCCACTCGTCAAAAACTGATCCGGGGTGAAAATCTGAACCAGATGGACCCTCTGACCTCTGAGGCAAGGCAAGGCCCGGTCGAGTCGAATCGGTCCGCAAGCGGACGTGGGCAGAGAACTATACATTCGTTTGGGCGATGGGAAGTTCGCATGCGGAGTTGAACTCAGAAGTCTTTGCGCGTAGCCCTCGGCCTGCGCACGCCGTTTCTTCTGGTCTCGAGCAGCGACGTGCCACGGCTCAACAAACCGAGGGGTCTGGGCTGGTTCTGGGAGGACTTGCTCGCGTCTCCCCTTGCGGGCCGATCCTCTGGGGGGCCATCCAGTTCAGACCTTGTGGCCGCCGCCGCAGACCACGGTCGGCGTCCAAAAGCGCGGCGGCGGCGCGGAAGCGCGGGCGTTCCGGGTCCGAGGGCCCGCGGCGATGTTTGGGGCACACTTGGCAGCGGGGACCGCTCAGGGTTCGGCGGCGCGCGCGGTTGCCAGAGCCAGGGCCCACTTGGTCCCGTACAGCGAAGTCCTGTAGGTAGGAGGGGGGGGGGAAGCGAGGAAAGTTGGGCTGGGCGAGCGGCGCGCAGTCCGGCCGTGTGCACAGGATGAGTGGTCTCGACTGGATCTTGCCGAAGGTCTGTGAATTGTCCTCCAACTCCTCCACCCACTCTCCCACTCCCCTTGCTCCTTTCTTGCGCTCTCCTGCCGCTGCGCCTTAACAGTAATCCGTGGTCGTGCCTCGATGCCCATTGCCATTCGTGTGTTTTTTGTGCATGTGCACTGTAATGTCTTGCGCCCCCCGACGATGCCAAAAACCCCGCGTGGTGCAAACTGCAGTGCCTTTGCAGGTTCATCCTTGACACCGACGCGCCGCCAGCCATGGAGCTCGCCACGCCGCCCCTGTGTGCCGAGTCGGTGCGCTGGGTTGCAATTTCTGGGAGATGGAACTCACCTCTGGAGCTGGTCCATCCGTGGTCGTAAATCGTCGCATTCGGGTCTACTGCCGCTTGATCCGGCTCAGTCTTGGGTTTCTTGTTCGGGATTCATCCGGCTTCGTGGACCATTGATCTGCGGGCTGAAGAGCCCTTACTCTCGGGGGACGGAGAAGCGACCCCACCAGTACCAGGGGGGCCACCTCCAGCGAGGAGGTCCACGATGCCTCCCCGAGTTGAGAATAGGGGATGTCTCGAGCGATGCGGGGTTCCACATCACCAGGGGGATCCCCCCTGGTTCCTCCCGCTGGTGGTCCTAGTAGTGGTGGTGCTGGTGCTGGTGCTGGTGCTGGTGCTGATGCTGGTGCTGGTGGTGCTGGTGGTGGTGGTGGTGGTGGTGGTGGTGGTGGTGGTGGTGTCGCTTTTCCTTGTTCCTAGAGTCGTTCCCACGACCTCCCAGCAGTTGCTTCCTCAGGTGCGGAGGGTGATGAGCGATCACTTGAATAACCAGCAGTTCTCGGACGTCGTCTTCGTGGTCGAGGGCCGCCGCCTGTACGCGCACCGCGTCCTGCTGACACTGTTCTCGGACTACTTCCGTCGCGCTTTCGCGTGCGGCATGCGGGAGACGTTCGAGCCAGAGATCGTCATCGAGGGCATATCGCACGAGACCTTCCGGGTCCTCCTCCTCCTCTTCTTCCTCTGATTCGCTCCTCTTTCTCGGCGTCGGTCCGTTTCTTCTTCTCGTCCTCCCTCCTCGTTGCTGTCACCTTCTCCTCCCCCATCTCTTCTCCCCCCCACATCCCTATTCATCACGTCCCCTCTCCCTCCTCCATCTCGGTGCTATCATCTGAGTGTGGCCCTCAGCATCGTCACCCTCCATCCTCGCTCAACCCACTCCTCACCCCTCCTCCACGCCCTCTCTCCTCCCTGCTCTTCCCCCCCCGCGCGTCCCCTCGCTGCCAATCCCTACCCCTGCAACCAGGAAGATCTTCGTGCGAGCCAGAGCTCTGCTGGGCTTTGAGGGGCCACAGCACCACGCGCCTCGCCCCAACGGGCACAGGCACCGCGCGCTTCGCCGCATGAGCCCGCCCTGGCGCGCCACCTCGCTCCCCTGCTCCCCCCTCCTCCCGGCCCTCCCCCCCCCTGCTCCCCCCTCTTCCCTGCTCTCCCCGGCTCCTTCCACCCTCCTTCCGCCCTCCTCCTCCTCCTCCTCGTCCTCCCCCCCTCTTACCCCCTCCACGATGACACTATATGAATGCTACTCTTCTCTCTCTATCTCTCTCTCTCTCTTTCTCTCTCTCTCCCCTGACTCTGTCCGGAGAGAGTCCCGTCCTCTCCGCGTGCTTGTTGTTTTACACTGGATTCCAGGTTCTGGTTTCTCCCATGTGGTTTCTCAATCCTGGCGTTTCTGTGTTGTTCCAGAATGCTGCTCCCGCTCCGTCCTCATGTCCGCGCTTGGGTCATTCAAAATAGTGCTCCAGCTGCAGCGCTGGCCGCGTTCCCGCGCCTGCGGACGGCACTTGGCATTCGAAAGCGTCCACATCGGGCAGGCACGGTTGCGGAGGAAATGGAGCCAGCATTCCAGACAGGCCTTGTCTTCTCGAAGACGGGCCACTTACCCTCCACATCCGGTGCCATGCCACGGCATGCAATGCGATGTTGCGTTGTGCACCGTTGTGCGATGCCATGCTTTGCGTTGTTACGCTTTGTGACGCAATGCTTCACTACGTAATGCCACGCCATGCTATGACATGCTATTATCTGCCGTGCTCTTCTACGCCATGCTATTCCATCCATCGCGCACCTTCGTGGGATCATTGCCCTGCTCGACATCCGACTGTGCGAATAGATGGGAGATATACGCCATGGTAAGGGATGGGAGGGAGGGGTAGGACGTCAGATGTGACGCTAGCGCACCTAGCTTGTCTTCCCCCCCTCCCCCCTCCCCCTCCCCTCCGTCCCCGGCTCTGCTGGAGTTCCTGTACACTGGGCGGCTGAGGCTGACGGATGCGCAGAGCGCCGACGTGTGCTTCCTGGTCGGGCTGCTGAGGGCGGCGGACCAGTTCTGCGTGGACTGCGTAAGGCAGGCGGCGCGAGGAGAAAGTGGAGGAGCAGGATGAGGAACCAGCGTCTGCGATCATCTAGGCCTCCTAGATGGGGTCGGAGTAGGTGGGGTCGAAGGATCGCGCCGCATCGCCGATGCATCGGCGATGCGGCTCGATGTGGAGCCCGTGTTTCCCCACGCCGACGTCGCCGATGCATCGCTGACGTCGTCGATGCATCGCCGGCGCATCGCCGATGCATCGCCGATGTATCGTCGATGTATCGGCGATGCGGCGATATCCTCCGACCCCATCTACTCCCACCCCGTCTAGGAGGCCTCTAGATCATGACCTCCTGACGAGCCGAGAAGCGAGCCACCTGCCCAGCACTCTCATGACAGCCGATGATGACGAGACGATCGGCGAGACCACTGCGATGCAGCTCGGCCCCACGGCGCTCATACATATCAGCCGCTCTATTGCCGTGCCACTGCGCACGAGTCAGGCGGAACTCGATCACGTCCGTCTCTGCACAAGGGGACGGGACCTCCCACACCGTGCAATTCATCGAGCTTGTCGTGCACCTGGGCCCACCATTGGGCCCTCGCAGTATCGGGGACAACAGCAGGTCTCAGATCCCGAGCGCAATCAACCGCGCCAGCACAGTCTATTTGGAGGCTGGACCCAGGAAAGAGGACAGCATTGAGACACAGCTGGAGGACCGCATAGTCCTCGCCGTCCCTCGCGGCCTGGAGGGATGCCTCTGCAATGGGCACCACCCCCGAGATGCACGACAGGACGACTCCCTCCCCGATCATGACGACCACCGCCCGCTCCGCCACTCCCAGGGGTCGACGCCGACCTTCAAATGCCGATTCATCCGTTGGAACATGCATGCCGGCACCTATCATCAGAACCTCAACCGGCCAGTTCAGGCGATGCATAGGTACAGCAGGAGGACGGCTTGGGCGCCTTGCGCTTGAACCAGGCCGAGGGGTTAGGGAAGATCGCCCTGGAATCCTGGGCCCGACCTGAACGCGAGGACACAAACTTGGCCGCCTCACAGGCTTCGCACGAGAGCTCCTCCCGTCTCCAAGCCGAGTGAGCGGGGCAGCCGAAACGCCGATGGAAGAGGTTCCCGAGCTCTCCGCAGTGGAGGCAGAATGGGCAGATATCTTCGCACTTCTGGGCAAAACGCTGCTGGCACCAATACCTGTCAGCTATCAGGCCTCTTAGCAAACGGGAGTGATAGGCCGTCTAGCCCACTTTGGTTTTGGCCGCAATCATGTCTTGGGCAGGGCGGGAACAGGTCGGGCGAGCTCATTTACCGACGAAGGACAATTGACGACTGTTCATCGGCCACAATCACATCCCAGGATGCCTGCCGACAGATACCCTCAAAGAAGGCAGGCGAGAACTGGCCGATCGCCAAGGAGACACCGTGGTGTTCCACCAGACTGTCAGTATCAAGGTCGGGGTCCCAGCCAATCCCCCCAAGGGTAAGAATAGGGTGGCTAGCGGCTGCATCGCTGCGCTCCAGGGCTTCCTTTTCCCGAGGATCGGACGAGCATCTTCCAGGATAGGCCCGAAAACACGCTGGGTGACCGAGCGATGCCACCAGGCCGAAACGAACGTCTTCACAGCAGCCACAGTGATGTGCACGAACGGATCGCTCGCCCATGAGTTGCTGAACAGCAATGAAAAACCTATGGGCGCGGGCTGCCGCGACCCTCAGCCCTCTCAGAGCCGAGTTACTGAGCCCGAGGATGGGAGCCCACATCAAGCTTTAGCCGCGGGACCCGCCCTGAAAACACGAAGGGCATCTCTGCCGCCTCCAAACATCCGAAGCCTGCTGGCAGCAGCGTGGGCCCCAGAGACACGAGCAGCATGGATCGGGATCTTGCGACGAGAGCCGTCCAACGCGTCCCCTCCAAGGTCCCGATAAGTCTCAGACAGCATCGACGCATCAAACGGCCATTCGGGATCATCAAGAAGGAGCACGAACAGCTCATTGCCCGAAACTATAAAACATGTGTTGGACGCGTTGAGCGGCAACTCAAGCTGATGCATAGCAGACAAATTTAAGTTCCCTGCCTTGATTGCAGTCAACGCGCCTAGTAAGGACGCGCGCCTTCATCTAGGGTACCCTTGTGTCCTTGCCTCTGCGGCCCGTCCTTTGCCGTTTTCACTGGTCGCCCGCCGCCCAGAAAAAAAAAAAACATCGGCCTGAAAGGGTTTTGCTTTGCGTCCTTACCACCCGTCCTTAATACACGTGCTGACTGTAGCTGGGCCGTCACAGTGCGCAAGCCTTCTACCGCGCGAAGCTTGATGTCGTCGGCGAGGTTGGTGGGTCGGTAACCCGACGTCTCAAGCACAACCTTTTTCAGCACGCACAGCGTGAGCAGCTTGATAACCCTGGCGGCGCAGGAACATCCCGCCACCACTGTGCAATTCGGTGGCCCGGGTCGTGCAAGACAGCTATCGGATTCGGCGCGGACCCCGCTAGAGCACGCAGAGCGACCTGAGCAGGCCGAGGTCGAAGGCGTAATGCTCCGCCGCCTGCTTCATGGCCATACGCGAGACATTATCATAGAAGCGAGACAGGTTGAAGAAGACCGAACCGTTGTCCATGTTTTGACACATTGCGTGGCCAACGAGGAGGTGATGGGTATAGGCCGCCCGATCCGCCGCTGTGTCCCTTGACTTGCACCAGAAGAAGGGTTCGTCAACGGTGATGCGAGGAGGGCAGGAGGAGGAGGAGGCGTGCCGCAAACATTTCTCGACCGGACTCCGTCTCATCTCGCACTTGTCGTACCCTCATCGGACTGGTTGCTGGCTGCGGGTCGTTGCAAACACCTCACCCATTGATGTGGACAAGGTGGCACAACTAGACGCTGCCAACACACTCGTCTACTGAACAACCAGAAAGCATGACCACACGCGACCGCTAACTGCGGGCCCTGTCAAGCAGAGGCGGCGCTCAGCCGTCTCTTCAATCTTTGCGTCCTCCGATGAGATTGCGCCGGCAAACATGAAAACGTAGATCAGGAGGTGGCGGAAAACGACGCGGACAGGACGAGAAGGTAAGATCGAATCAAAGAAAGCGGCATAACCATAATTTCTCTGAGGTCCCTTGGCGACGCCTCTGGCGTCGCCCCCTGGCGCGCTCCGCGCGCCAGGGAGGGGGGTCCAGCGCCGATCCCAAGACATCCGTGCGGACCTCGGAGAAATCATGATATTCATGATGCTTCCCGTTCATGTGGTAGGTGAGGACAAAGAGGATGAGGAGGAGGAGGAGGAGCAGGAGGAAGAAGGAGGAGGAGAAGGAGGCGAAAACGGAGGAGGTGGTTCGCGTTCCACCGACCGTGGCGAAAGTTGTGGCACGGGGTTTTCCTGACCCGCGTCCATCATGGCCGAGGCTGACCGAGTAGACGGGCTGCGGCTGGTCCCGAGGGGAAGTGTAGTCGTCTCTAACGGGCGTGTTGGGGACAGAGCCTCCAGCACCCCAACATCTCCACCACCCGGGAGGCCGATTCGAACAAGGGCATATGCGATGTCCACAGTTGGTTGCTGCTCATTTGTTCCAGGCTTCGATCCTTCCACTTCCGATTTCGTGCGGACACCTCCGCCGTCAGGTCCCGCGTTCGGTCCAGACCCCACC